GACTCAATCTTCCCAGAAGAAGCTGGGGATATCAGCCCAGCATCAGGGGGAATACAACAGCTGCTCAGACACTCAGCATCAAAGCAATTTCTCAGGTGAGTCAGGAGGAACATGCTTTTTTTCCATCAGGCTAGCCTGAGAGAAGCTTGTGCCGTTCATTTAAAGTTAGAGATTGGGAAAGTTAAGAGACATGAGAAAGCGTGGAGATCCAGTTGGTACTGATACTGGAGGCTTTCAGCAAGTTCCAAACAGTTTCAGCAGTTTTACCAACACCTGCTAGGAAAACTGAGCACACACTGATGAGATAGAAGGTCCTGGCAAGGCTGAATGACAGGCTAAGGAGAAGAAAACAGGAGGCCGAAGCAGCCACTTTGTGAAATGAGTCCTGCAGGACTGTGCCTGTCAACAGCCTGGAAAAGGGAAAACGTGACAATATGTGCTGAGGATCCAGAGTCATCCCAGAAGAGAAGGGACTGCAAAAGTGCTTTAAAAGACACAGCAAGCGTTTAAACTTAGGAGATTTGGGTTGTTCCTGGGAACAGCAAACTGCAGCATGGCAGGTAGAGGAAACTGGCAAAAAAAACCAAACCAAAAACAACCTGAGCTGATCACCACATCCCAGGAGTGAGATAGAGGTCACAGGAAGGACACACAGACACTACGACCCACTGCTCACTACCCATAAAGGACAGCAGAAAATAAATGAGATGCTCTTGGGAGTAGAAAACTAAGGAGAAAACAGCATTTTGCCCCTCCTGAAGCCCTTAAATACAGGCAGCAAATCCAGTTCAGTAAATATGAAGGTTACTCAGAAAGTAATGCCTCCTGTGTTGTTCTGTTGGCCCCCGGTGTCAGAGGTGGATGTTGGTGGTACAGCAGTAGGGACTGAACCTTCCCACCAATATCCCATTCCATGCTGTTGCCATGGGACAGATGGCAGCAGAGGGGTAATCTGACAGAATGGTGTCTGACATGGGAGCGCATGTGAAGCAAAGGTGTGTCACTGAATTCTTCCACGTGGAAGACGTGGCACCCATTCACATTTATCAATGCTTGCTGAATATTTACAGAAACCAACCAGTGGATGTGAGCATAGAGAGGCAGTAGGTGTGAAACACTGTGAAACAGCATGTCACCTCTGCTGATGTAGATTTTTATGAGCACAGCATGCAGGCTGCTGATGAAAATATAGAGCTGATGGTAGTGATTATGTTGAAAAATGCATGTTTTGTAGCTAAGAATTTGATTTATCAAGTAGTATTATTGTGCTCTTTGTATCTGTTGTACTTTCCATGGAAATAAATAGGAAGCATTACTTTCAGAGTGACCTACATACCTGCGTGCGCGTGTATATCTATATACAGGCACAAGATAAAACCAAGCCAAAAGTCCAAATAGCAGTGACAACAACAAAAAGAACATAATGACTCCAGTACAAGGAACAAATAAACAAGAGGTGCCTCCAATCAGGGAGAAAGGAGAAGACATAAGTAGCACAGCTGGATGCAAGGAGATGAAATGTTTTCACTTCTTTCCCAATACGGATGCTCCAGGGACTCTGAGGAACTGCTGGTATTTAGGACAACACTGGAACAAGATCCATATCACACAAAATGATTCAAGAACTGCAAGAACACATGCCAAACATAGACATTTGCATAATTTCTGACAATCAACTTTTTAAACTTTGTTAATTAACTCTGTTAATTGACTATGTCAGAAAGCTGTTACGTATTTAAATCTAGGCTGCTGCAGACGTGGCTGAATTTCCAGTCTAACAGGTGGCAGGTTCAAACAAAAAGATAGGAGAGTCACAAAGCCACAGCATCCGCCATGTCCCATTACAAGCCAGTTTAAGGCTTTGGGGTTGGAAAGCAGCAGGAGAGCCTTGTAGAGGAGAAATTCACTTAGAGCTATACAAAAAGCTAGTCATAGATTTGCTCTCCTTACTCTTACATCTCCCTTTCTGCTTTGCTGCAGGATGAAAGAGTTCCACTTCCCACCCACCAAAGCAGCACAGAAACCAGCCAGGACTTTCAGCAACAACAAAACCCACTTCCACACCATTGCATATAAACAAAGCACGACCTCACCAGCACATGGAAACGGGGGTGATGAAGCTCTGGCATCAGGTCAATAAATTCACAAGGAAAGGCTGGGGGAAAAAAAAAATTCCCCAGAAATCACCAAGTTAGGAGCTCTTGCTGGCTTGCCTGCTCCTGGCCAATTGCTGGTGCTGCACTACAGTGGTCTTACCAGTACATACCGTTTGCACTTGTACAGAGTTCCTTCTTTTTTTTTTTTTTTTTTTTGGACCATAACTGATTAACCTTCACTGAGGATAGAGGACAACATTGCAGCCCAGTAAGGTCAGCATGGTCTGTGACTGAGCATCAGGAGGCACTGCCTGTAATTTCATGTCCAAGAAAGCAAGAAGAGAAACTATTATTTCTGTTACACCAGCAACTACAAATCAAGTTGATTAAATTAACCTCCCTTTGCAAATTTATGCATATAATAAAAGTAACTGTTTATTGACAATACTTGCATTTAAACTAATTTTTAAGAAGTGTGTGTATGGCAGGGCTGCTCTTCTTTTCCATTCCAAAGAAGCAAGTCCTGCTTGGTTAAAATAATTTTACCTTTTTTCCTATTCCTGTACAGGTATTTTAAACAAAGCAGCATCAATTGTTTTCTAATTCATTATAACAGACTTTGGAAAAATGAGGAAAGAGCCTTTGATCAAAGATATGAGTTCATTCATAGCACAGTCAGGAAAGTGCTGCAGGCAAAGCTTTTATGTAGAGAATTAACAAACTAACAGATACTCACTCATGAGGGTCTACTGTAAGTATCTATAAAAGGACAGGTCAGAATGTATTGCATGAGGTTTGCTTCTAATTCTTCCTTATGAAATGAACTTTGATTTCACATGAGAGGGTGATAATGTTTAAGAAAATAGCACTGCATCAGATCCTGAACCACAGAGAAGGATGTGCATTGCTCACATCAGAATGCAGGACACATCCAGGCACCTGGTAATACCTGTGAAAAGCTTGCCAGGAGGCTATCATCCGTTTCAAATCAGTGCTCCTGGAAAGAAGAGTAAGTTTTCAACTCAAGTCAAAATGAGAAAGTAAAATGTCAATTAATGTACTTTAATATTAAGCATGCAGCAGCGTGAAGACTCGAAACACCACAGACACACTGCAGGAACAGCAGTCTGTCAAATGTGTTTGAAGCAGAATACAGGCATGATGCTACATACTGCGTTATTGTTGCTCATAAAACAGGTGAAGTGCACAGTTTTATTTCACAGCACTGAAAATCCAAAACCAGTTATCCAAATTCATCCAGTCAGTCCCACAGTATCACAAAGTCATGTTACATGCAGCATCAGAGAGCTCCATGCCAGCCAGAATTACAGCAGCAATACTTACTAGAAGGAAAAAATAAGCTTTCCAGAAACATTAGTAAAGCTTTAGACATCCAAAATTAAATATATTTCAAGTGTGTTTAATGCCAGCATCCAAGAACACAGTCTGTGTCTTCCATCAATGAAAGGTTCCAGTTTGGGTGAAGTTACACACAGAGTTGTCACTGGAGGCCTGAGGTGAGGGGTTCTGCCTGGAGCTGCGTGCAGAAGGCGAAGGCATCATTTTCCTTGCAGGGCTTTTCTGGGATGGGCCAACTTGCAGTGCCATGAGAGGTGGCAGCCTGTTTGCATTGCCTCACCGAGCCAGTGCCCAACTTCATCGATCCTGTTTGGTTTCCTTTTTAGTCTATGTACAAATTTATTTTTGGTTGCTTGAGGATGTGTGTTTTCTGTTCTTTTTAAATAACAGAGTCATATGAAGTCATATCCCTAGCAGTCAGAATTAGTCACATGCACTCATAAACATCCCAAAACAGCTGCTGCAGCAGTTGTGCAAGATTTCCGTGCTCAGTCTCTAATTATGCCAGCTGAGTGAGTGGGGGCAGCCTTTGCATACAGATCACAAATTGCACATTTTCCCTCTTGGTTAACTGGTGATATCCGCTGTAGATAAACCCACTGCACTGGAGATACAAACGGACTCCTAAGCCAAGGCAAAACAGAAACAGTCTCTGAAGAGTTGTACAGAATTGTTCTATCAAGCTACCATCTTTAACACAGAAACAAACGATGCCTCACCACAAAAATAATTGTTTGGTTCTTCCACCTTATCTGGTTCACAATCTAAGAAAAAACAGGGCAATGCATTCTTCCTCTGCAAAGAACACAGTATCTTTAACAAACACAGTGGGTAACAGAATAGACAAATGGAAACCTTCCACTTATCTCCAGCAGTAAAGCTCGCATTTCTTCTGTTCACATCGTGAATTATCATAAGATGACTCAACCAGAAAAAAAAAAAGTTCAAAGGTGAATTTTCTCCTTACGTCTGCTATTTACCATATTTCACCACCTTTACACAGAAGTTTCTTTCTTCATAGCTTTGCCTCAAACACTGCCTCACAATAAAATTCATAACAGGCACCTGTCACAGTAACTACACTCAATTGACTCAGTCTCAAAGCAGTATCATGCTAAAAAGGAGACAAAGCTGATATAAAATAGCATTAAAAGTCATATGCTGGAGTTGGCAACCATCCTGACCTATATTCCTATAGGTGTTTCAGTGCAGCTGTCCTCCCTAGCCACCTCCTCTGTTTCAGAAACAGACCTGCAGAGCTAAAACATGCAAGAGTTCTACTGGGACATCAGTACTAAAATATTCACTAGCTTTAATCAGTACTTCTGCTGACCAGAATCACAGCCTCCATGGAAGTCTACTACTACGGAAACAGAACCTACGTCCTACTCCATGAAGAATACTTAGATTACAACAACAAAAACAGACAGGAAAAATCCTCATGGTGATTTCACCCATAAAATAATATCCTAAAAAGAAGCTTTTCAGTTGCTCCTTAACTTACAGATATATAAACTCAGAAGTGTTTTATTTAAGGTGTATTTGAAAAAAAAAAAAAAAAAAAAAAAAAAAGGTGACAGAAGTCCAAGTCCTCTAGAAAAAAAGATGAACCAAGTCTGCCAATACTTAAACTTCTAAACTTTAAACTAGTTCAGGTTTCTCTTCCTTTTTCTTTCCTTTCCCTCCATCAGTTAAGTTTTCAGTTTTGCTGATGAGGCTACCTAAGTAAATGAAGGTATAAATGTTTATAGTGCCTATGGCACTCCTGTGGTAACAGGTTATACCACCCCTTCACCCTCTCCCCTGTCAACACAGCAAAATACCCCTCACTTTATGGGCTGAGCTCTGGAGCACTTGTTACAGGGCACACACATGTCAGGAGCTACCAGCACCATAAAACCACACCTACATTTGCTTTGGGACCAGCCATTCCCTTCCAGGCAATGAAGGGACTTTTATTTGACTTGCTGTATTTTGGACATTTCTGGACAATTATCTTGATTTCTTCTTTTTTCTGTTTTACTGTTGAACTCTGAAATACTTTCTCAGCAGCAAGTAAATCTGCTTTAAGTGCAGATACACTGATGAGATGACCACTACCTTTATGCAGTTAATTTCTTTAAAATCAGCTCAATTTCAAGAACAAGCTGGTGTATTGAGTGGATAAGGCCTAAGTGATACTCGGTTCTTGCAGAAGTCAAGTCCCAGCCAGATACTTCTCACAGTCTGAAGCCTGCCCAGACTTAGGGTAAGCACCTATCCTGTTCCAAGCAGCAGGATGCACTGGAGACCTCCAGAAGTTCTAAGAAAACTTTCAGCATTTGAGGAGGACCAAGATGTTCAAATTGCTTGCAGAGCCTCACCTGAATGCCACAGCCCCAACATTAACACGAGAAATTGATGGTGGCAAGTGAAAGGAAACACCAGACTGCTTAGAGAACAACTGCTGCATGGCCACTTTTCCTTTCAAGAGCTCTAGAATATCTCCCACTCCCTCATTCTTCCTCCCTTCTCTTTCAGGAGAATTTACTTACCATGATGGCTAACTTGCAGTGCTGGATGAGTTGATGAGAACTTAAGAAACATAAATCCTTGTCCCTTTACAGGTGGACAGTGCACATAGCAACTCCTCCTCCTGTCAGTGCCAGAGTGAGATCCTCATGTGGTGCTGTCCAGGCAAAAGCTGGGCAACTATAGAGAAGTAGCATATATTCTTTCCCTGCTAGGGGCTCAGGAAAAGGAGTTAAAAAAGCTCACAAGTTTAAATTATTTCATGCCTGCCATAGGAAAACAAGAGCTAGCAAAAAGGCAGCACGAAGCAATACTGAATTAGTTCAAGCACCTTCAGCTCTGACAAAATAAACAGTTATCCCAGCTCTAAATTCTATCAACAGCACATTCATAAGAGGAATGACCTAGGAAATTACTTGTCTGTACACATAAATATACAGGCACACTTTGTGTTCCACCACATTTGTTACCAGTACTCAGGGACATCCTGTTACAAAATGTGGTTTTGTCATTCATCTTACGTAATAAATACACAGTGCACTAAGCTGACCGAGACAACCCAGGTAAATAACGGCCATCAAATGTGTGGGCTTAGAGAGTCGACACAGCAGCATTTCATCCAAAGTGCTTGTTCACAACGTCTGTTGAAGAAAACTGAGATCGGTTTCCAAGTCAGCCACTCCATTTAATTCCCTCAAAGTTCATCAGTAACAGTACCATTGAACTTGGGCAATTCACACTCTTCTTCAAAGTGACAGTTCTGAAGGATGTCCTTGTAATAGCTCTTGAGGTCTGCGTATGTAGAGATGGTTTCATTTGAATGATGAAAAAGCATTAGCTTTTCATTCAGCAACAGCTGCACTTGGTACTCCTCCTTGGAGGTCTTCGCTTGGTCACAGTGGTAGAGCACAAACACCAGGTTGGCTGCATAAGGCACGATCCGGCCACTGCGGAATTTCCGATTTGCCTGGCACATGTAATTGTTTGCCCGGAGAGGCTCAGCATCTTTGAAGAAGCCCATAAGAGCAAGAAGTGGCTGAAGTGTTTCTGCATGTCCAACTTGTACAATCAAAGGTGAAGAAATGGGTTTTGAACTAAAGAGAAAAAGGAAAGGATCAGCAACAGCCTGTACTGCACAGCAAACATACCAGCACCACAGCTGTCAGCAGTGAAGGCTTAAAGCAGTAGACTTTGAACTTGTACTTCAATTTGTGATAACAGCCTGTTTCAGGATTTCAGTACATACAGGGTTTTATTTAAAAGAAAAAAACAAAATCAGCACCTGAGTTTTCCAACCTATGCTTTGTCCCACCTGAAGCTATTGGCTCTTAGGAAGAATGTAAGAATTTGTAGCGAACGTAATTAGGCTAGAGCTAGAGTGTAACATAAATCAGTGAAATACAAGCAAAACCCTGTCTTAAGGTGTATATTCATACCCTTGGAGCAGCTCTCAGTCTTCCTCTGTAAATGCAGCTGCTTGCGCTCTTCCCAGCTATGGGCAGATCCTGTGAGCATGCTACAGTTAATCACAGGATCACCACGTTTGGAGAAGACCTACAAGATCATCCAGTCCAAGGTTTGTAAATAGCACTGCCTCCTCCCATTAATGATTTTAGACAGGAGCAGCAAATCTGCAAGGCTATGTTAATGGACAAACCAAATCAAGCCCTCAGCTGTCAGCATGTGGAGGCCCCAGGACATCCCAGCAACTCAGAATTCCCTAAGCACAGATCACTGAATCATAGAATGGTCTGAGTTGAAAAGGACCACAATGCTCATCTAGTTTCAACCCCCCTGCTATGTGCAGGGTTGCCAACCATCAGACTAGGCTGCCCAGAGCCACGTCCAGCCTGGCCTTGATCCATTGTGAACAGGTGTAACCACTCTCCCATCACAGACCATTTGTAAAACGTCCCTGAGATTTTATTCTATTGTAACTCCATAAGCACTACAGGCTTCACAGATCTGCTGTAGCACAAACCTGTCTCCAACATCTAGCAGTTTTTCCCAGGGTATCATGGTGTGGTTAACAAGAATAATTTCAATTATTGTTGGTAGTTGTTGTTCCCTAACAGCACCGAAGTAACCAAATAATAGAACACAATGAACCATGGAGAGAGCACATCCACAAAGACAAATTACTTACTACTGAAACACAATCTAACAATTCTGAATACTTAAAAAAAAATCTAAATTTTTAAATGTCTTTTTAATAAGCTTTTTTATAAATTAATCCTTGATGTGGTGAAGAGAAGCTCGCTCATAGACTGTCGTCGCTTTACACCTGGAAACTTTCAAGGTATTCACATTACTTTTGCTAGGCTTGGGAGTAAAAGCTTTGCCCGACTGCTGTAATAAAGGACAAGTGACAATTTGGTTTCAATATGAAAACTACACCTAACCACAGACTTATCCACACATTAACCATAGCAAAACCCCACTTCCCTCTGACCTAACCACAACCACCTGATTGCCCACGTGGCAAACAGATTACTGATTTAACGCACAACCTGCTTTTCCTTCTCCACCATTTATCAGTGCCTATTATCCAGCAAGAGTGCTGCTACTGCTGATCCTGCAACCGCCTGTTCGCCAAGAAGATCACACTCCCTCCACACACAGCCAGCAGAAGCAGTCAGAGATCAAAGCCTAACAGCCTAACCTGGCCTGTCAGATGGGGTTCAGCACAAGGACAAAAGGCAGTGGCTCACAGCAGTTCCGAAGCAGCAGCCCAAGGAATGGCTGCCCCTTGCTTTCTGGAACCACCTCCAAGGGGTGCTCAGAAGCTCGGGTCACACACAGTCAGACAGAGGGTGACATCTGGCCACGCTCCTGCTTGCCCTCCACCACCGAAGTCCACCCACAGATGGGGCACATCTTGATTGGCCTGGAAAGGAGGTGTTTCCTCTGCTCTGAAGCAACTGAAAAATGGTTAACTGGGGGATTTGCTTGCAAACACAAACTCTGACCAACTTGGCATGACAGCCTCTGTATCGCCCACCTGCTACAACCAGTCTTTGTGCAGTGTGAAACGTGCCTTGTACAGCACCGCTCAGCCTTCTGCCTATCCTCCCTGGACACGTACATACAGTTACACACACTTGTCCCTCAGACACGTCATATAAAAAAGAAAAATCAGAAACCTGCCTGTTTCCTGCTCCAATGAAGTGGTACAGCCACAGAAAGGATCTGTGTGTTTCCTCCAACCCACACGCACCTTTTCTGCACCAAGAGGTCCACTCAATGCAGACTGCTGCCAGCTCCTCTAAAACCCGAGATTCTGCTTGCATTTCTCTCCATTTTATTCATGGCCTTTTTACCTGATTTTAAACTTGTAAAGCTTTTAGATCCTTCAACCTCTTTCCTTCCCATTCCCCTCTTGCTCAACTGACCAGCCCACTTACAGCACTCCTCCACACACCTCGCTAGGTTTTAGGGTGCATTACACCCATCTTGTCAGACAACAAATAGGAACAGCAATAAAAATGCTTGCCTAGAGAAGACAGAAGGACATTTCCTTTGACCTGCAATTTCCAGCTCAAATGACTAGGTCAGATCTGCACATTTCAAAGCCCACAAAGCTCCTTCCACAATCCTCCCTGGTTGGAACAATTTCTCTTGAAGAAATGTACTGCATCTGCAGCACTTCTTAGCTTCCCATTTTTTCCCCAGCCATTTACAACATGCCTACATCCAAACAGACCCATCTCCACCTGTGACCTGCCTGTGCCAGTAAAATCACACATCTATCCCTACCATCCCCCTTTCTTGCATTTTCGTTCATTTTTTACCCAAGAAAGGGATCTTCCCCTCCAGACAGCTCCTTTTCTCTGGTAAGGAAACCTGTTGAAGACTTATTGGAAAAAACCATGACGAAAATCTAGACTGTATCTCCCAGCTCACCACATTTGCATGCCTGTTGATTTTCTCCCGAGAGTTCCAAAAATGCAAAAGAACCAAGTTGACACTCTTCTGGTATATCACACTCACCAAGATGCTCAGCAATGCTAGTCTCAATCGTTATTTCCGCTCACCTGGCCTGCATTTTTTATTCTCTCCTGGAGATGCTTTTCCATTTATTCCTGTTCTTTTAAATCATCACACTTGCCAGTCCATAGGAACTTTATGTTTGAAGTCACCACTCACTGGTTGTCACTTCAGACATTTCACTCAAGTCCTTTAAGCTGGGTGAGAAGTACCCAGCTGTAGCAAACCAAAACATTTTCATTTTGCTCCAGCAGCATGCTCGTTTATACCTGCTTGTTTCTAAGCGTGGAAATTTGTGTCTTTTATTTTACTATGCAAGGAAGCCAACAATATGCTGCCAGAGTCTCCAAAAAGCATTATTCACTTGCACTGGATTTCACCACCACCCACCATCCTCTTTTCCTCTCTCTGCCCTCCTAAGTGATGCTAAGATAGAAATGTATTTAACATTGTGGCTTTATAGAAGGTTTGGCCTTGCTCATCAGCTGATGCCAGCAGGAATTCTAGGATGGAAGTGAACAACAAAAACATGGCTAACTTGTTTTTTAAATCAAAACAGCAAAAACAGGAATAAAGTTATAGCGCATATACACACCAAGAGAAGTGTTACAGAACAATCAAAAACCTCGTGAAGACAAACATGGAACAAACAAGGAGGTTGCTCTCACTCTAACTACACTTAGTATTTTGTCTCCTGAAATCCTCATGCTGACAGGTCAAACCACTTGGGAGACAAAACAAACCTCTGTCATTCACAGCAGAGCCGGCATATTATTTTAATAAGGATTAAAACTGTTTCACTGTATGATACAACCCCACCTTCTTAACAGCCTCTTTATGACTGTATAATTGAAAATCTTCCTGGACTCTCAGCAGCACCGGATGTTTGATTTCTTGTCTAGGACTACTCAAGCACTCCCTGTTTAACCAACATGGTCATGACTATGGTGCACACTGAGCGTCTTATTATCTAAGGACAATAAAAATCAACAGTAAGGTTAAAAGAGCAATGGTAAAGTAGTACTTTTAATTACAGTGAAATCAATAAGAATTGCCCATTTGCAGCATGTGCAAAGGTTATTACTGTCCAGATGTTTCTGATAAAGACAAAACAGAAGCACACAGTGCAATCAGCGGAGCACTGAACAGTAGCACAAGCTAATCAAACTCTGAAGGGTCGAGACAGCAACACTCAATCTTCTTTGGGATCAAATAATGACTCAGCACTGCCTATCAGCACCAGACAAAGTTCTCAATATTGTACTAAAGCCAGTGATAATCCATGTTTCCCCCTTCCCCTTACATTAATAAATGACTTGAGAAAGCAAAGAAACCGTCTAATTTCCAACTTCTAAGCAAGTTGAAGAAATTGTACGTAAATAAAACCTTGCCATAAAATACTAGAGTTTGCCTGCAAGTTATTACTGATGATTGCTATCGTGATTTTACAAAGTGCCTCCAATGGAGCAGAAGCAGCTCTCACTGGGCAGAAGGAGCAGCTGAGCTCATTCACGAGACGTGAGGACATTAGCTTCTGCACTGCCCTCGCTGTAACCTTGGAAGTACATCTGACCATAGCTGAAAATGAAGAATGTTCATGAGCACAATCTACCCCCCAAAAAGGCCTGTATAGAAGCACAGGATTTATCATGCAAACAATTTTCAGTTCTCCTTGATCTTTGAAGATATGGGTTTAACACTGATTCTTCTGCATCAGCACACCCATCTTCAACAGTCGCTTGCTCCTACTCCTCTCGGTCTACTGATGTACCATCTTGGATATGGAAGTAACCTTACTTTCAAAAAAAGTTCATTTCCTAAGCACTAATGTGACTTTTGGCTAGTGATAACCCCAAACCCAAGAGATAGTGGGATAAGAAGAAACATTTCCTGCAGCAGCATTTAACTGGCTGACCTTCAAACGTTATGTAAAAATTCCCCCAACAACTTCAGAAGAGAAGTTTTAACAACTGTTAACAAGAAAGCTTGGACCACATCTTATCCCAGACTGACACACACAAAAAAAAACAGGACAAAGGACTCAAACCTCTCTATTTTCAGCTAAAGAATGAATTCTCCATCAATCCCATATCCCTCTGTGATTTAT